TCCACCCATTTCAAAATTGTGTCATGTTTGAGGTAGTGAAAACCGACAAAAAATATATATTGTGTTGCATGTCAGCTCCAAACACAAATTTGACCCGAGTTAATCATGTCGTTTGTTGTGTCAACACAATATTGATGAACGTAACTTTCAATATATAAGTATGTCTTATAGTGTTGTGTATACTCGTATAATAAGCAATACACTTTGAGATTGACAGATTATTTGTGTCGTGTCTTTTCAACCTAAAAAAATAAGCGAGTCTGGTTCACATAATTTTTTTTAACCTATTTTCAATTTTGTGTCATGTTTGTGTCATATTGTGTCGTATGGTGTCAACGCGAATTGATATCGAGGTATGAACACTGATGAATAAGTCCATGCTGGACAAGTATTCCCCAAAGAAAGGGATTGAAATATCGATCTCATTATCTGTTTTAGGTGTTTTTATCGAGGTGTAGAATGAATTATGAGTATGAAATTTTTTAAAAATTTATTCAGCTTTTAATTGTTGTTTGAGAAGTTAAACCTAACAACTTTTCGATTGATCATTGATAAATATGATAAATCATCTTGTGTTTGAAATATTTTTTAGAGTAAATACTATTTTTGGTCTGAAGCAAATTTTACGATGCTTGCTTTAGTCCCTAGCAAATAAAAAGGCTATTTGTGTCCCTAAGAATTTCAAAATGGACCCATTTAGTTGAAATCGTGGTCTCTCACAAATTCAAAAAAGACTCACATTAATCCCTCAAAAGCACTAAAATGGGTACATTTTGAATTTCTTAGAGACCACGGATAACCTTTTTATTTGTTAGGGACTAAAGCAGATCGTAAAATTTGCTGAAGACCGAAAAAGATATTTATTCTATTTTTTAAAATGGACAGGGCCCACATGTCATCGTGGATAAGGTGAAAGGGGAAGATAATTTTTTATGGGATATTAGTCACATAAAAGCTTTGCTAAGTGATAGATATCACAAGAAAAAAAAATGAAATTTTCATTAATAAAATGATAAGGTAGTAATTTTTGAAGATAATAAAAATTTGGATGCACTCTGCTATAGTGCCACATCATTACGTCATCTCCATTACTGAAAACAAGAAAAATTGGCTACTCACACGACAAAATTTGCCTAATTCTCCGCATGATCCAAAGTCTCAAACTAATAAAGTACTCATTCCTCTAGAAATTTCGATTCTTGTTCGTGAAAAATACAATCATCCATTCAAAACTTGATAATCCAATTAAGACCCATAATATATTAAAAAATATAATTGCACAAAACTATATAATAAATGTGTGTAATACTTTTTACCAAAAAAAAAAAATGTGTGTAATACTGATGGATTCAAATAATATGTTATCTCTTGCTTATCTCTTACGTATTCTACCAATAAATTCGGCTATTTCAATTGAAAAATAACAATAATATTTGTTGTCTTTTTTCAAAAAATAAATATCACTCGTAATTTTTAATAATCATGAATGTCATTTTGTTGACTTTCTGTTTATTTATCTCTATTTGTTTTTAAGATAAAAAAAATATTTCTATCACGAAATTGATACACAATAGAGGTGATAATTGTCTAATGAAATACTAGACAAAATATGATATTTTTGTTGCCCGGAATGAATACCATATTACGTATTTACCTTATCACTTGTTTTATTTTAGGGAAAAGTGTGTATCATTTTAAAGGACACAAAGTTGGGTCATTTTAAGTGAGAGAAAGAAATAAATCATAGGAGAGAGTGGGGGAAAAAAGTTTTAAAAATGTGGGTCCCACCTCTTTGTGAGAGTGAAAGGATATAAGGTGTGTCATTTAAAATGACACACCTTTTTCCCTTTATTTTATTATTTTTATTTGATTATTTATATTTTAGTTTTCAAATTGGATTGCTACTAACTCGTTTCATATCATGGTTCGAACATAAGTAAATAGGTGTATTGGATTAGGATTTTAAAAGATTTTTTTGAGCTAAAAAATCTTATAAATTTTAAAAGACTATTTAGAATTGGAGAGGCTTTAAAGACTTTTTTAAAAGATTTTTTTTCACAATCAAGATTTCATAAGATTTGATTTTAAATAATTTTAATAAAATTTATAAGATTTGAAAGGATAATATGGATTTATAAGATTTTAAAAAAACATATGAATTTTTAACAAACATTCAAAATTACAAGAGTCAATAAAAAAGAAAAAGGTTATATTTAGGGATTGGTGTATTACATCGTTGATCAATGCAATTATCAAGAATTAATATTTTTTTAATATTATATATTAAAATAAAAATTAATTTTCAATATATTACTTTTTAAAATATTGAATATTTTTATTTTTTAAAAAATTTATTTATTTTTTGGACACACTCATCAATAGAATTTTATAAAAATTAATATCATATGACATTTTTGGAAGAACTATATAAATTCTGTATTAAAGGATATTTTTATTAAAAATATTTATTTTTATTCTATATAGTACTATACAATGCATTACCAAATACTAGATGATATAATATTATACAATATATTATTTTATACAATACCATGTCAAATGCTGGATGGTGTTAAAATTCAATCAGGTCTTATACAATCAGGCCTTATACTATCAGATTTTATACTATCAGACCTCATACTATACTATGCACCAAACACGCCCTTAAAATCCTAATCGAATACCACGTAACTTTTTTTTAATCCATTAAAATCCTAATCGAATACCAACGGATTTTTTTGTTCAAAAACAATCCATTAAAATCTTTTGAAATCTCAAAGGATTTTAAAGGATTAGGATTAGGATTTTAAAAGACTTTTTTTAAGCTAAAAATTCTTATAGATTTTAAAAGACTATTTAGAATTGGAGAGATTTTAAAGACTTTTTTAAAAGACTTTTTTTACAATTAAGATTTCTTGGAGGGTGTATTGGATTAGGATTTTAAAAGACATTTTTTAGCTAAAAAATCTTATAGATTTTAAAAGACTATTTAGAATTGGAGAGACTTTAAAGACTTTTTTTACAACCAAGATTTCATAAGATTGGATTTTAAAGGATTTTAATAGAATTTATAAGATTTGAAAGGACAATAGGGATTTATAAGATTTTCAAAAACCATATGAATTTTTAACAAACATTGGAAATTACAAGAGTCAATAAAAAAGGAAAATGTTATACTTACAACCTATTTTTGTTTACAACATTTTACAATCATATCTTAACCGTTGATTTCCGACAATCAACAGCTATCATTCATTGCAAATTAAATATTAATTAATGAGTTTGATTTGCGAAAATAATAACCATTGATTGACAGAAATCAAATGTTAAGATATGATTGTAAAACGTTGTAAACAAAAATAGGTTGTAAGTATAATCTTTCCCATAAAAAAAATAACAAAGAAATGCAATGAAATTAATAAAAAAAGTAAAATCTAATATAATTTTCTCAATCAGTAAAACATAATATAATTTTTAACAAACATTCAAAATTATTAAACAACAGCTTTTCACATATCTAATAGGTTGAAAATTGTCTTTTTCATTTGGTATCAAAGCTATGCATATATGATTATAAGACTCAATTTTTTTAATTATAAAATAGTTCTAAATTTGCACATAAAACCTAAAGTTCATGATAAAATTTCGTTTGGAATTTTTTGCAATTAATCTTGAAAACCTTGGTGTTTTTGTTTTACGTGATGAGAGTTTTCTAACCATATATCATATAAATATTTTCATTGAATATTCTAAGAAAATTTCGAATCTGAAATTTTGAGTTTAATTACTTGAAAGTTTAGAAAATTTTTCAATTTTTTTTCAATCGATACATTGAAACCTTAAATTGTTTTGGAGCTTTTGAGAAACAAGCTTTTAGTTATCTATTGACACAAAAATTGTTTGAAATCGTTTCATATAGTGAATGAATTTCGTTCATAAATGTATTGTTACGAAATATAAGGTTCATATTATGAAAGATTCAATCTTTCTTTAAATTGATATTATTTCATTGACGTAAAATGAAAATTGGTTTGAGGGTTTTAGTTCTCCTGTTATTTTTTCACTGTTTTATGTTGTTTTTAATACAAAAATCACACGTTTTTTGTGCCAAGAAAAATCGCGACCCATAGCTTGAAAAATCACTTTTTAAACTTCCAAAATTTCTCAAAAATGGCTAAAAAATATGTTATTTTTGAGATAGATTATGTAAAATCTCGTTGGTTTGTTGTTTCTGGATTGTTTTGAGATGAAAATCGCTCAATTTTTTTATTTTTTTTAGTTTTGATGAAGCTCTCATGGCGGATCCCAATTTTAATTTCGAGCAGTCAACTTCCTAAAGGAAGAAGAAAACATTGCAATAGAAGAATATCAAGAAATCCTAGAGGTTAGGGTGAGATTGTGAGAGATGCATCCTATTTATATTTTTCACTAAAAAGTCTCAGGAAATCCACACAATAGAAAATCCATTAAAATCGTCAGATTTTTGAATACCACGAGATTGTGATTCCATTGTTTAAAATCCTGATTGAATACCAACGGATTTGGACGGATTCTAAAATAATCATTTAAAATCCTAATTGAATATCACGTGACTTTTTTTCAATGCATTAAAATCTCAATCGAATACCATTGAATTTTTTTGTTCAAAAACAATTCATTAAAATCCTTTGAAATCTCAATCTAATACACCCCCTAAGTTAAATATGTGATCAACATAAAATTTTCCAACCCAGGATTGGGCTCATTTTTTCCATGCCCTTGTTGGAAAAATCTTGTAATTGGGCTATTATTCTGATATTGTTTATGGGCATCACATTAAATATCCAATCATATATAGGATGGGCCTGGGCCTGCAACTGCTAGGGTTCTTTACACAAACAAACGGGTCGGATATATCCGGTCCAGGCCGGGATACAACTAAACGCATCACTTCACGCTACCTCCTCCTTCTTCTTCATTGTTTATACGTCTCTCCTAGCTCTGCAATTACACCACCACCAATTCAAAAAAAAAAGAAAAAAAAAAAAGAACACCATAAACCCTCACATGTATTTATATATATCAAAGTAAATTGGAAACCACAATCAACGATTCTCCACACTAACACAAAATAAACACATAATTTGCTGCACCGCCATGGACGACGAATCGAATCGTAGCCACGGCCAAGCTCCGCCGTCACCTCCGCCGCCGGAACCACATTCGTATGACGGTGACGGCGAGGAAGATGATGACGATGATGATGAAGAAGAAGAAGAGGTGGAGGAGTCTAAGAAGGAAGAAGAGGAGATGATTGCAAAGGTTAACAAGCTAATGGAGAGGATAACTGGTGCTTCTGATAACCCTAAACCAACCGTTCTCCACGCCCTTGCCTCCATTCTCGAAACCCAAGAGTCTCGGTATGTATGGTTGATGTGGTACTAGCGTGTTGCTTTTTGATTAAATTCATCACTTTTTTTAGTTTATTATTTGTTCTTTCAAGGTATTTGGTTGGCAACTTCAGAATTGGTTAATGATTCATGTGCTTTTTTGTTCTATTGAGTGTTTGTTCATTTTAATTAATTATTAATTTTTGGATTATTTGTTAGGTATTGATATATCATTAATTCAATTGGGTGTATTAATGTCTATTTATAGCTTATATTATTTTAATATATGCCTCGTTGTCAGAATGCTGTAGCTACTGCTGGTTCTTTCTTCCTTTTTCCCTATGTCGTTCCCATCAGTGGTTTTAACATTCTATTGATTTTTGCAATGTAGATACATGGAAGAGAATGACCATTCTTCATCCAGCAACGCCCGTGCTTCCCATAACGTTGGGCGACTTGGGAGCATAATCCGGGTATTTTAATGTCGATGGTCTTTACACACACACACACACACACACACACACACGCGGGGAAGGATATTCTTATACTAATATAAGAATAAGAAGTCTAACATTTAATTTTAACCATTGATCCATTTATATCTTAGAGCCATTAAATATAAGTGCAATCAACTGCCAAGATTGAGAGTGTAACTTAATCTGATGTAAAATAATTTGAACCTATATATAAAGCTATTTTGGTGAAATTCTGAGATAGTAACTTTGTGTCTTCTATCCTCCACAGGAGAATGATGAGTTCTTTGAGTTGATATCTTCAAAGTTTCTGTCAGAAACAAGGTACACAACTTCCATTCGGGCTGCTGCTGTCAGGCTTCTCCTGATCTGTTCGCTAACTTGGATTGTAAGACCTCCTTTCTAATTTTTATCCTAGCTTACCCTTTGTTAACATTTTTCACCATGCATAGCGTATAGCATATGTTGTCCTATCAATCTGATAAAGTGTAAATGAACAGTATCCTCATGTTTTTGAAGAATCTGTCCTGGATAACATCAAACATTGGGTAATAGATGAGAATTCTAGTTTGTCTGCTGAGGAGCAAATTCTGAAGCGTAATCCAGGGAGAAGGGATGCTTCAGATTCTGAAATGTTGAAAACATATTCTACTGGACTCCTTGCTGTGTGTTTAGCGAGGTATGCTTATGCAATTGGATTTTACTTTTACATATCTTGTTCACCAGTTTGGTTCAATTTTATATATTTATTCTTGCTTCTAGTGATAGGCTGGTGGTTATCATGCTTAAATAGTTATCCCTATTTGTTTAGTTCTCATTTCCTATAATTTCTTATTAAATTTGGAATGATCTCAGTGGAGGTCAAGTGGTTGAAGATGTCTTGACATCTGGCTTGTCAGCCAAGCTTATGCATTATCTACGTTCGCGTGTGCTGGGGGAGACAAGTAGCAGTCAGAAAGACATTAATAATTTATCAGAGAGTAGGCATGCATCTGGGAATACTTCATTGAAAGGCCGAGATGATGGTCGCAGTAGATGTCGCCAGGTCCTGGAATCAAGTAATTTAGATGATACAAGAACGATTGATGAGAGATCATTAGATGATCGAATTCTTGTTAGGGATCTAGATAAAAGCATCAGTGTACAAACTTGCCAAGAAGATTCTTGGATAGATGGTGAACTCCATGATGGGTTGAGTGAAGGAGCTGACATCTGTGAGGTAGACATTGATGAAGAGGACAGATTGCAGTGCAGAGATTTATGTGATGGAAGGATAAAATATGGTGACCATGAAGACAATGCTAGAGGTGACTCTTCGAGACGGCGTGCAAACCATGGATGGGGAAGATCCAGATGGACGGGTAGGGTCAATGAAGGGACTGTAGAAAGTGAACCAGTTTTGTCATCCCCTGGTTCCAGTGGTCGATTAGGACAGGGAAAGAGTGTTAGAGATAGGAGCATATTGAGGAATGTTGATATCAGAGTCGTACCTGATTCTAAGAAGATTGCCAGGATTACTTCTGAGGCAAATGTTTTGGAAAGAGAGGATAATGATGATTGTTTCCAAGAGTGCTGTATTGGAAGTAAAGATATCTCTGATCTTGTTAGGAAAGCAGTCCAAGCTGCAGAAGCTGAAGCTAGATCTGCCAATGCACCAGAAGAAGCGGTCAAGGCAGCTGGTGATGCTGCTGCTGAACTTGTTAAAACTGCTGCTTCAGAGGTAGGCTGTTGATCATTAATGTTTATATATATATATATATATATATATATATACATGTGCTGGTAGTGGATGCATAAAATTTTAATGGTAAAATAGTTTATTTCTTATATTCAGGAATTTAAATCCACTAATGATGAAGAAGCTGCTGTTTTAGCTGCTTCAAAAGCTGCATCAACTGTTATTGATGCTGCATCTGCCGTTGAATTTTCTAGGTACGAAAGAATACCTATATGAACATCATCTGGTTGCTGTCAAGAACAATTGCCAGAGTAATTCTGTTAGCCCCTGTAATAATGTTCTTCTTGGTTTGGTTGCAGGAGCTCCATCAGCATCAATAATGAGGCTGAGAATGCAGGTGTCAAAGAAATAGAATTTGGTGAGGAAGTTGAAGATTATTTCATCCCGGATATTCAATCACTTCTGCAGTTGAGGGAAAAATATTGCATTCAGTGTCTTGAGCTACTTGGAGAATATGTAGAAGTTCTTGGCCCTGTATTACATGAGAAGGGGGTTGATGTCTGTCTTGCACTGTTGCAACAGAATTCTAAACATCGTGAGGCTTCCAAAGTTGCCCTTCTGTTGCCTGATGTTATGAAACTGATCTGTGCTTTGGCTGCTCATAGGAAGTTTGCTGCACTATTTGTGGACCGTGGGGGCATGCAAAAGCTTCTTGCTGTTCCTAGAATGACTCAAACTTTCTTTGGCCTTTCTTCTTGTCTATTTACTATCGGTTCTCTGCAGGTACTCATGTTTTATAGTCATCATTGTTAGCTAAGATGCACAATAATGTTTATGCTACAATCCTCTAAGTGTATCTCTTTTGTAATTTATATTTGTGTGATGCTATTGCTATTACTTTTTTCTGATTCTTGATTATTATTTCAGGGTATAATGGAACGGGTTTGTGCTCTTTCGTCAGATGTTATTTATCGTTTGGTTGAGTTGGCTCTCCAGCTCCTTGAGTGCAACCAAGACCAAGCTCGGAAGAACGCAGCATTGTTTTTTGCTGCTGCATTTGTCTTTAGAGCAGTTCTTGATGCCTTTGATGCCCAGGATGGATTACAGAAATTACTGGGTCTTCTACATGATGCTGCTTTGCTAAGATTGGGAGTAAATTCTGGGGCATTGGGCTTATCTAACTCAGGATCACTCCGAAATGATCGATCGTCTGCAGAAGTGCTGACATCGTCTGAGAAGCAGATAGCCTATCATACTTGTGTTGCTTTACGACAATACTTCAGGGCTCATCTCCTCTTGTTAGTGGATTCTATTCGTCCAAACAAAAGCCATCGTAGTGCTACCAGGAATATTCCAAGTTTAAGGGCAGCATACAAGCCGCTTGACATTAGCAATGAGGCAATGGATGTTGTATTCCTACAATTACAAAAAGACCGGAAGCTGGGTCCTGCATTTGTGAGAACACGTTGGCCAGCCGTCGACAAGTTCTTGGTCTGTAATGGACATATTACTATGCTAGAATTGTGTCAGGTATGGCATATTTTGTTTGCTCATTATCTTTCTCTTGTAATTTGGTTATTATTCACTTGGTTGTTTGTCCTTTGTAGGCTCCACCTGTGGAACGGTATCTGCATGATTTGCTCCAGTATGCATTGGGTGTTCTTCACATTGTTACATTGGTACCTAGTAGTCGCAAGATGATAGTAAATGCAACATTAAGCAATAATCGTGCTGGTACAGCAGTCATTTTGGATGCAGCAAGTATTGCTAGCAATCATGTTGAACCTGAGGTAATGTCTTATGATAGTAACTGCAGTGTTTACTGCCTAATTTTTGCAATTGGTAAAAGGAAGGCTTTAGAGTTTTGACATACTGATTATTGCAATATATGTTATCTCATTTTTCTATTCGTTACTGCATTTCAGATAATTCAGCCTGCTTTAAATGTATTAGTCAACTTTGTCTGCCCTCCACCTTCTATTAGCTATAAGCCAGCTTTGGTTACACAAGGTCAGCAGTCTACTTCTACCCAAACATCCAATGGTCCTCTATTGGAAACTAGAGATAGAACTGCTGAACGGAATGTCTCAGATCGATCTGTTAATATTTCCAGTCAGTCTGATTCTAGGGAGCGGAACGGGGAAACTAGTGCTGTAGATCGAAACAGTACCGCAACAGTTAATACACAAACTGTTAATAGCACTCCACAGACTCCTGTTCTGACTGCTACTTCAGGATTGGTTGGAGACCATAGAATATCTCTGGGTGCTGGAGCAGGCTGTGCTGGCCTTGCTGCACAACTAGTACAAGGATATCGTCAAGCAAGAGAGGCTGTTCGTGCTAATAATGGAATAAAGGTTCTTTTGCATCTCCTCCAACCACGCATATATTCACCTCCTGCTGCTCTGGACTGTCTCCGTGCTCTAGCATGTCGAGTCCTCCTTGGTTTAGCCAGAGATGATGCTATTGCACACATATTGACAAAGCTACAGGTGAACAATAATTATCTAATTTTATCGAACTCAATCATACTCTTATTGGTTTCTATCCATTATTCCATTACATCCTGGTAGCATGGGATTTAACTATGTCAGCATCAAATTTGGAATAGAGATAGCTCTGCTCCAACTTTTTGCTTGCGTACCATTTAAATTCTGTTCTGACATTGGCTTTAGAATTTAGAAATAAGTTTTTGTTTTCTGATGTTTGGTGACAATATAGGGGAATATATGCTATGAAATATTATATAAATTGAATATGTTGATTTTGTGTGTAGGTTGGGAAAAAGCTGTCAGAACTAATTCGGGATTCTGGCAGCCAGACACTTGGAACAGAGCAGGGTAGGTGGCAAGCTGAACTTTCCCAAGCTGCGATTGAGTTAATTGGGGTGAGCATCTTCACTTTTCTTCAATGAAGCTAAAGTTTGTGTCTAGAAAGTGTTGTTTAGAGTAAACTTGCTCCGGTGCTATGCCATGATTGCTGCAATGCTTTTTACTTGCATGCATTTGGTTTTCTACATGTCGCTCTCTTCTGTATGCTGCATTTGCTTTATATATTTTAGCTTTTAATTTATTGGTCTTTTCAGTTGCCTAGAAAATTGGAGGGCTGCAAACATCAGGTTTCATATAGATGTGCCTCTATAATCCTTAATGCTTCCCAGTCTGCTATGAAGTAGAAGGCTTAAGGTGTCCAAATTCACTACCAATATTATCAAATGCCATAAAATTAAGGCTTAACATTCTTTGCTAGTGTGTGTGAGGACACAAAGCTTAAAAGCCTGTTGGATTAAACAGGATTAATGGTTTTGCCATGCACAGATCAATTCATGATAGCTAGATAAATATCATATCATAATGTGCTTCTAATTTAAATTTTTTAAAAATTCATCTAATATTTTTGGTGCCTTAGGTCAGGGATATATTCCTGATTTGTATAAAATACTGTCTTGGTTTGTCTGTTCCTTGTCCATATGTGAGTCACATTGGACTCAAGGTCATAAATTCATGTGGCTTTTAGGAATTTTCTAGTGATCCAAGATAGCTGTAAAATTTCTTTTGGAGACAAACAAAGAAGTGATGGGGGACTTAAGTTTTCCATGTTGGGAGAAAATTATCAACAATGGGAATTATGTCTGTATTTGTTATTTTTCGAATTATTATATGCTGTTCACTAGTGTTATTTTTAAGGTGTTTGTTTTTTGTTTAAATTTCACTTGAAGGCTATCTCTATTGTGTTCAGTTTCTTAAGGAGCAAGATGTAGGTCCTCTGTTACTTGACAGCAATATTACTTAGATATTAGTATTGCTAATCCTTATGCTTATTCAATTTAGTCTGGAGTGGAGTGCTTATTTACTTTTCTTGCGGGAAGATCAAATTTAAGCTGATTAAGTAGACTAAAGCAACTAACATATTTAGCTTTAGGGCTTTAATGAGCTTTTATTGTCACCCACTTCCATTCCGTTCTTTATTTTCTAAGTTTGGTGCTTAAACTGAGAGAAAAATATGATAATCTGTGCTTTTTGAATACTGCTATTAATATATATTTTGAAATTATATTTGTAGATTGTCACTAATTCAGGGCGTGCAAGTACATTAGCTGCTACTGATGCAGCTACTCCTACCTTAAGGCGCATAGAAAGAGCAGCTATAGCTGCTGCCACTCCTATAACATATCATTCGAGGTATTCAGTGGTTTTTTATGATTGACCATTCCCAATTTTTCCTATATGTGCATTTTTCCTATACGTGCAGTTCTTTTCACCTTCTGATGCTTCATTTGTTCTCCATTTTCTTTGAAAAATCAGGGAACTTTTGCTCCTAATTCATGAACATCTTCAGGCATCTGGATTGTCACAAACTGCTTCTAGGTTGCTTAAAGAGGCTCAATTGAAACCTTTGCCATCTCTGGTTGCTCCATCTTCTCTTGTACAACAACCCTCCGCCCAAGAAGCTCCTCCAGTACAACTTCAGTGGCCTTCTGGTCGTGCTCCTGGATTTCTATCTAACAAATTAAAGCTTAATGCAAGGGATGAGGATGCCAGCACAAAGAGTGATTTAGTTTTCTCTTCAAAGAAAAAATCACTGACCTTCTCTTCTTCCTTTGGTTCAAATTCAAGGCATCAACTTGTAGATTCTCGGCAGCCATCTGCCAGAAAATGGTTAAGCAAGTCTTCAGAAACTACAACAGTATTGGAGACTCCATCAGAACCTTCAGTGAAACATAACATTGATGCTGAATCTCAGTATAAGACTCCAATCATCTTGCCAATGAAACGTAAATTATCTGATTTGAAGGATATAGGAGTGTTGTCATCATCTGGAAAGCGACTAAATGCTGGGGATCAAGGACTTTGTTCTCCTATTTTTTCAACTCCAAGTGTAATTCGTAAAAGTAGCCTGCAGTCTGATGTTATTGGGCTTTCTACACCAAGTTCCAACCTGAGAAATCAACAAGGACGTTGTACATCTGACTATGTGGATGACAATCAATGCAGTATGTCAAATCTAGGTCAGGTTACACCATCCTCCCTTGGAATAAATGACCTCCAGCCCAACAACCCAGAACGAATTACATTAGATTCTCTGGTGGTTCAGTATCTGAAACATCAGCATCGCCAATGCCCAGCTCCTATTACCACTCTTCCCCCTCTATCTCTTTTACACCCTCATGTTTGTCCTGAACCCAAGCGAAGCCTTGATGCCCCTGCTAATGTGACAGCTCGTCTTGGTACACGCGAATTTAAATTTATGTATGGTGGAGTACATGGGAATCGCAGGGATCGTCAATTTGTTTATAGTCGATTCAGACCATGGCGCACTTGTCGTGATGATGATGCTGGTGCCTTATTAACATGCATTACGTTTTTTGGGGACTCTTCTCATATTGCTGTTGGAAGCCACAATGGAGAGCTCAAAATTTTTGAATCTGACAACAACAACGTGGTGGAGGGCTTTACAGGTCACCAGTATCCATTGACACATGTTCAGTCTTTTGTTTCTGGTGAGAACCAGCTGTTGCTTTCTTCAAGCTCCCAAGATGTAAGGTTGTGGGATGCTTCTTCAATTTTAAGTGGTCCTACCCATCAATTTGAAGGGTGCAAGGCTGCCAGGTTTAGCAACTCCGGGAATGTTTTTGCAGCTTTGTCATCAGAATCTGCCCAACGGGAAATCCTCTTGTATGATATCCAGACAAGTCAGCTAAAGTCCAAGTTGTCAGATACTTCTACAACTTTTACAGGCAGGGGTCATGTTTATTCTTTAATTCATTTCAGCCCTTCTGATTCAATGTTGCTTTGGAATGGTGTCTTATGGGACCGGCGGGTTTCTGGGCCTGTTCATCGCTTTGACCAGTTCACAGACTATGGGGGTGGAGGCTTTCATCCTGCTGGCAATGAGGTATGCAAAATCTTTTAGCTGTCTTAAAAATAGAACTGTAATGTTGTAGGAAGATTATTCTAAATGGATTGCAAATTAAACTGGAGAGAAGAGTTATATGGAAAATCTTCTCCCACGAGTCTCAATTGAAAGGGAATAAGAGATGTTGAAAATGATCAAAACTTCATTATTAGGCTATTTCTGGTAGGGGGTAAAACGAGGGAGGAATTTTAGAGTAAATTTTTATGAAAGCGAGTATGTTTGGTTTACTGGTAAAGGTGACGTGATTATGGGAGTAATATTTTCCCCAATTTTTTAGGGTAAATGTTATCTCACTTATGACTAGGGTAAAACTTCTTCCCCTACTCTCTTATCTCTCATGGCTTCACCATCATCTGTTGTCTCTGCCACCTGTGATCGCCATTCTTCCGTCAGAGCTTGGCACTTGGGCTGGCAAACAGATTGGCGATTGATGTCGACGAAAACTGATAGTTTCACTGAAGAATGTGATTATTCTCCGTCAGGCAGTAGCCTCTTCTTTTCCGTGGTGGAGAACGCCAGTGGCAGAGAAAACCAGAGGCAGTGCCTTTGGCTCAGCCTATGTGACTATGGCACAGAAGGGATGGCTGCGGCGGTGGAGATTGGGGCTCTGGTCACAATGGAGCTCCACATCTCTGCAGCATGGGCATAGTCTCACTATCACCTCTCTGTAGCAGTTCTGTAGTGGTGTTGCTTTGCTTGAAAGGTTGAGAAATGAGGAACACCACTGGTGTTACACCGGAACTGGTTCACGGGTTAAAACTTACAAGTTACTTCTCTTTGCATTCCGAACAAATTAAAATGAAAATTATATCCCATTGATAATTTTCCTATGAAATTTTTTTTCCCTTAATATTTTTCCTGTTAAATTTTTGAGGTTTACTAAACGCATCCTTCAATGGAAGTACTTGTGCATCTATAAATTTTGGTTGGTTGAAGGAGATTTGGAGGGAAGTAGTGTACAGATATTTTTAAATTTTTTTTTTGGGTTCCAAAATCCTTGGATTCTTTTTGAGTTTGACGTCAAGATATCTAGTGAGCATATAATTTTATTGTGATGATTTTTGTGTGTGTGTGTGTGTGTATAATGTGGCATTTCTGACTTTTTCTTAATGCATTTGAATGATTATTTTGTAACCAGGTTATTATAAACTCTGAAGTGTGGGATCTGCGCAAGTTCAGACTGCTTCGTAGTGTACCTTCATTAGATCAAACAACAATAACATTTAATGCTCATGGCGATGTGATATATGCTATCCTAAGGAGAAATCTTGAGGATGTAATGTCAGCAGTTCACACACGTCGTGTCAAGCATCCTCTTTTTGCAGCTTTCCGCTCAGTGGATGCAGTGAATTATTCTGATATTGCTACTATCCCAGTGGATCGCTGTGTTCTTGATTTCACAACTGAGCCAACAGATTCATTTGTTGGGTTGGTTACAATGGACGATCAAGATGAGATGTATGCATCTGCCAGAATCTATGAAATTGGTCGTAGGAGGCCAACTGATGATGATTCTGATCCAGATGATGCAGAGAGTGAGGAGGAAGATGAGGATGATGATGAAGATGCTGACGGGGATCCGCTTTTAGGCCCCGGTTTTGGTGGGGACAGTGACAGTGATGCTGATGACATAAGTAATGATGATGATAGTGTTAGTGAGCTTGATGATGAAGATGGAGATTTCATTATGGATGCTGGAGACTTCGAAGGAGGAACTGACATATTGGACCTTGTAACAGGTGGTGTTGAGGATGATGATGATAGTGAAGTACTTGAATCTTTTAGTAGTGGCGAAGAAGATTTTGGCTTTGAGTATTAACTGTGAATCAAATGGTTCTAGAGGCTGTAATTATTGTTATTTCTTTCTTCATTAGGGCAAAAGAAATTCTGGGCCTAAAATTTTGCTGTTCTAACCTCTGCTAACATATTATAATAGGAGAAGGTCAAGATGCATGAACTGTATATATTGTTTCAAACAACAGTTTACCTCGGACTCTCCTTTCTTCATGTCTCTGGATTTTTGAAGAAAGGGCATTTTTTGTTTGGTTGCGCGTTGCATTTTTGGGCATCTGTAGATGTCGAGCATTCTATTTATTAGTTAAAAAGGTTTTATGAAGCATCATTTCAATTCTTTTTCAAATAGGCTGTATGTTAATAACTCCAGCATCTTTTGATTGTATTTAAACTGGAAAAAATTTCCTCAGAATGTCATGGTGGTGCAAAAAGTAAAAGATGATACAATTATCATACTTCCTTCATAATAACACAAAAAAGAGTGTTGTTTCTTCACTGAATCTTTAATTTAGTCAAAACAATATTTTCTTTTTTGAAAACAGTCAAAATATTTTTTCAAGCAAATCTTGAACAAAACGATGAGATATAAGTTATAACGTCTACTTAAACATTCACTTCAGGCAAAAAAACAAAAAAGCAAAAACAAAAACGAAAGAAACGAAAACGACGTTCATTTGAATTCTTATGTTGTCAAGTACCAAAGGCTATCAAAGTTTTAGTGAAAATTACTGTTATGACTTATGGCGAACTATAATTTGAATTCGTTTTAAATTCTTCGATTTATATATCTTTCAAAGTGTATGTATAGATTGCCGAAAATTATTTAAATTTAATATAATAGGTTTTTTTTTTTACTCTATCATCCACTAAAGAAAATAAACATAATAGAAATATAATATTGTAATCAAAGTAAAACATAATTACATCAAATTCATAAAGGAGGAAAAACACAATTAAAAATTCTAACAATTTTAAGCTTTTTATTTTTGCTATCGTGTTTAAAATTAGGGATAAGTTATTTTGTCTACTCTCATTTTGCCTACCTCTGCTTATCCATTTCATTACCGTTTGATTATAGTATAATCCAACTGTCCATATTTACGAAATAAAATAAATCTTTTTTCGCGTACCCTTTCTCATCACTTCCTCCTATACCCTTTCTCTCTCCTCCCTTTCTCTCTTCCTCTACGCTATACCTATTTTTTTTCCCCTTTATCGCTGATGTCTGCCGCCCGCGCAATTGTAGCTATTTATCGCTGATGTCGGCTAATGGACATGTTTATGGATCATGATGTACAAAACTTGAAAGCTCCGTATTCATTTGATTCGTCTCTGCAACCTTCTTATACTTAATTGCTGATTTTTGTCACATGTCTATACAAAATAATGGACATGTTTAAACTTTGTTCTTGTAATTATTTGGGGGGCAATCTAATTCTTCAGATTATCAAATATTTACCATTTGAAATCTAATAAACAATTAAGTGCATGAAGCCTAATTACCGATGGAGCAAGGTTATAGTTACAACCTTTTTTTCTTACAATCTCTTACAACCATATCCTATCACCGTTGATTTCTCCCAATCAACGTTTATCATTTTAACAAATTAAACTCATTAATTAATTATTAATTCACAATAAATGATAACCGTTGATTGACGGAAATCAACGGTGATAAGATATGGTTGTAAAAAAAAGTTGTAAGTATAACCTTCCTCTTACCGATGATATGAAGTATTACAATTGAGTGCATGAAGATGTAATACTTCTCAGAACTTTTACCGATAATTCTTGGAACCGATCACGAACAATAAACATATTCTAGAAATTAATATGTTCAATTTTGTATAGACATGTGTTTTTGTTTAGAACAAGGTACGCAAATTGTTCGTGATCGGCTAGTAAGGAAGTGTTTTTTTTAATTATTATTACATAGGTACCTTGTCAGCGTTTAGAATTTCCATGTTCAATTTCATAGGAAGATGAAGACGAACAAATCCAATTCTTCCCCTTACCCAGATTGTTCGTGATCGGCTAGTCAGGAAGTGTTTTTTTTTTATTATTATTACAAAATAGCTGCAATTGCGCCGGCGGCAGACATCAGCGATAAAGGAGGAAAAAATAGGTACAACGTAGAGGAAGAGAGAAAAGGGAGGAGAGAGAAAGGCTATGGGAGGAAGTGAGGAAAAAGAAAGGAAAAAAAAAATTTATTTTATTTCGCAAATAAGAACCGTTGGATTAGATTGATATCAAACGATAATGAAAGAGATAGACAAAAGTAGGCAAAATGGGAGTAGGCAAAATAACCTATCCCTTTAAAATATTACGAAGCTAAGTGTCTAAATCTCGTTTTGATGTATCTTAAAATTTTCAACAATCATTCATGCAATTTAGGTTGGCGATATACTTTATTGGTTGGAACAGAACAAAGCTGTTATTAGTTAATGACCATAAGAAATTTCTTTAACCATTAATGTTATTGTAAAAAAATTCATATATAATACAATAAATATATACAAAGTAAACATTAAAATCGTTATTGAACAATTTAATATGAATATGTAGTGAATTTTTTAATTTATATCTATATGATCATAAATTAATAACATTAACTTACTATGCATCGCACGAGTAAATACTAAATAATATGTTTATACAAAATATAATGCATTATTTGACAATATCACACTAAAAGTTATTACACTCAACAAAAAATTCCAACTCGATGTTTTCCAAATAAACCCAATACCCGGAGCTCCTACTGTATTTGGATGGAAATTACAGATCCGTCCTCTTACCGGGTTTAAGATGAGGTGAGTTTAAGATACCATTCAGAAACTTGAGAAAAAAAAATCATGAAGTGTATTTATTGTAAAACATTATTAGCATCAGGACAATTTTGACAACTAAATTATAATATTGATCGGGGCGTTTGGTAGAGGAGAAATTTTTTTTTATCCAGAAATTTCGATTTTCAAAAATATGATTTTTACATTCAGTTTACGATAATATCCGAAAATTTAAAATTTAAAAAAATTTAATTTTCTAAAAATCTTACCAAATACCGTGTATCAAACGGCCCCGAAAGAAACATTTATGGGAGATGAAAATAAAAAATGGGAGATAGCCACCACTGATCACCTATTGGTGAGTATAAACATAGGGTTATTTTTTTGTGCAATTACTGTAGATAGATTATCTGCAGTAAGTCTAATACGATGTTGTTATGGGACGAGAATTATGGTGTTTTTGTAATTTTAATTTATTACAGTGTTATTATAGGTTTTGTAATTATAATTTTTTAATATTTTAATTCCAAAATAACGTTATTTTAGAAATAAATGCAGATAATTTATCTGCAGTACCTGCAAAAATATTTTTCTGATAAACATATAACAAAACATATAAATTATGGAAAATCATACTCTTATGTTGCATGAGATTGATCTTTCATGTTATTCTCACTTTGAAAAATGTATTTCTCTTTTTTCTTTTTTCTTTTTAAATTGGTGAGATTCACTTTATTTATCTCTTAATACAAAAGAACTTCTCAAGAAGTAATCCCCGTAAATTATTAACGGATTTGGATTTTTTAGATACGGCATTCCCTTTTTTTATACAGAAACCAAATAGTACTCGTGCAAGATTCACAAGCACTACAGTGAACAGTAATAGTTTGTGATTTCATATCCTTACATAAAATGAGATTTCAAATCCATTATTAATCAGCCACATGCATAAACATCATAGCAGAAACAAATAACAATTTCTAAAATTCAATCTGAATAAAAAAAAGAACAGAGGCAGGGACAACAAAAAGATTGGGATTATTCAACCTCTCATATTAAATGTGATAATTTAGTATAAGGTTGGTCCAGTTACAATGGAAGGTAGCCATAAAAGGTGCCCTATCACTTCATTTTAGCCTCTGTAAATAGAACATGACAATTAAATCTAGGGACTAGGATCATATTTTCGAAACTCAAGCTTCTCTAAAAACTGCCTCAGTTTACTCTAAACATAGAAGAATCCAGTCCCAGCAGCAGATACTAGTTTTACAAACATCCGAGCCTTCTTCTTCTTGTCAGCCATTCCTTACTCTAGCAAAAGACAAATGAATTACTATTACAAACACTAATTATTCCACGTTGTTGGAATATACATAATATATCCTATGAGTTATGAATAAGAAGTGAGTTAAGGAAGAAAAGAAAAGAGGGAAGTTAAAGGAGTGTATGGGTCTTAAGAAATTTCACATTGGACAACTAGTAAGAGATGAGAGAGTTTATAAGCTCCCATCTCACACTCCTGGATTGCCCCTTGGGGCACTACACTTTTGTGGAGGGGAGAGGAACTAGGTGACCTTTGGTCCAGCACATGCGCACCGCCGCCACCGGCCAGTTGGTCGGCTCGGTTCATACATGTTAAATAAAAATCCGTCGCCGTTGCTTCCCTCTAGATTCTTCAACCCAAACATTTCTTCTTGCCGATTCTTACCTTTCGGTGTCGGTTCTTACCTTTCGGTTCAAACAGACGCGTTCATTCATAATTGGACCGAGGTCACTGGTTGTTTGTACCTGGTTCTATATATAGACTCTGATCCCTTCAGAAAATTTATCCGGTTTTCTGCACTGACACTCTGTCGGATTTTTTCTTTCATCCAGTTTTGCATCCTTCCTTCCATTTTTCGGTGTAATTCCTCTGCCATCTTGTTGTGTTCGTTTGAGCTATTGACTAGTAGTGCCATCATTCTTCAAACGAAATCAATTCTATCCTGGGAGACAAATTTCCATCAACCTTTGGCATCAGTGAGGGGAAAAATTATCTTAAGGAAACACTTTCTGTGGGCTCGGATTTATTTCATCATTCTGCATACTGTGTTCATTCATTTTCTCCAATACTGTGACTATGTTCTTAATTTTACTATTGCACTGTGTTTTGTGATTATTAATTTCATCTGTTCTATACACGGGTGCAAACCTCTTAGTGATTATTAATATCATCCATTGTCTTCTAAATAATAATCTTAAGACAATTTGGTGTTTTGAACCTGTGATCAATATATTATGTTTTCTGTTTTGTATACTGCTTTTAATTTACTATGTGATTACTGTATTAATCTGTGTGATTAATTCCAGATTCTGTTTGTGTAACAGAAATGGCTACTGCAAGTACAAATTCTGCTAATCCTACTGCTTATGTTCCAATGCATGCTGACAAACCCGAAAAACTTAATGGGAGAAATTTCAAGTGTTGGCGACACTGAGTTTGGAACATTTCCTCAAAGAAGATGCTCCTAAATTGGATAAGGGAGAACAAACTGACAAGGAAAATGTTGCTGCCATTGATGCTTGGAAGCATTATGACTTTCTTTGCCGAAACTACACTCTCAATGGTCTAGACAACACATTGTATGATGTGTACAGTACCCTGAAGACTAGTAAGGAACTTTGGGATAGTCTGGACAAGAAGTATAAAACCGAGGATGCTGCCTTAAAAAAATTCATAGTTGGCAGATTCTTGGACTTCAAGATGCAAGACTCCAACTTTGTTGTGAGTCAAGTTGAAGAACTTCAAGTGATTGTGCATGAAATTCATGCAGAATGAATGTCTCTTAGTGAGTCTTTTTAAGTTGCTGCTTTCATAGAAAAATTACCAAATTCTTGGAAAGATTTCAAGAATTATCTCAAGCATAAGCGCAAGGAATTATCACTTGAAGATCTGATTATGAGATTGAGGATAGAGGAAGATAATAAGATTTCTGATAAGAAGAATGACAACAATCTTATGGTCTCTAAGGCTAATATTGTTGAAGAGGGATCAAAGTCAAAGAAGAGAAAATATTCTGAAGATGGAAATGCTAAGCAAGGAAAAGGCAAAAAGTTCAAAGGCAATTGTTACAATTGTGGGAATTCTGGCTACCGTGTAAGGGATTGTAAGAAGGAACAAAAGAAAGATCAGAGGAAGCCACAAAATTTCATTAAGAAGAAAAAGACCACCCAAGTCAACATGGTTGATATTGTTGATAAGGTTGAAGATCTGAGTCTAGCAGCGGTGGTGATGGAGTGCAATATGGTGGGAGATACTAAGGAATGGTGGGTGGTAGTGATAATCTTATTTTTCCATATTTGGTATAAGTTTCCAAAAATTTTCTTGGAAATTTTATTTTGTGTATAATTTTCTCTTCCAAAATGTCATCATAATACTACTAAAAGGGTGATATTCTTAAAATCCCATATGTTGGGAAATTTTTTCATTTTTTGGAACAAAATTTCGATAATATTTTAACTTATTAAATAGCTTTTTGGTAATAATTTTAGAAAAGTAATTTTCGCACTATATTACTGAAAATCATAATTTTTGGGTAAAAAAAAATTTATCTTCTACCAAATGCTTAGGGAAAAACACTTCTTCGGAGAAGCGTCTTCTCATGTTAATGAGAGGTTTGATGCGATAATAAAAGTCTAAGTAAAGTTCTTTTTGAGTCCTTAACAAAAATACAGGTTCACTTTCGTCTTTTATAAAAAAATTCATATTAATTCTTTTTTAAGGACTAAATTGGGTCTTCATTAAATTTTTGAGGGACCACATTTTTAAAGAACTGAAATTGTAAAGAGGTCACAAATTGATTTTTTTTTTTTAAAGAACAAAAGTGAGATCATATTTTTTATTAAGGATCCAAAAATATATTAACAAAAAGAAAAAGAGGTTTGACATTTGGTTACTAAAGAGGTTGGATAAATGTCCTTTTCCTCGGAATGCAGAGCTTGAAAATAAAATCAATTAGCTAATGAGAGTAGTTGTATTGTTGTATATTCTCAGGTTAACAATAAATTTCTTACAGAACATATGAATTATTTAAAACATCATTTAAATTATAAATTAAATATATTATTAACAACAAAACTCTAAAATGTTAATTTGACAATAAAAGTCTTCACATGGAGAAGCTTACAAAGTTGATATTGATAACATAATAGCGCGAATTTTGGGGTTTAATTAATGGGTTATATTTCATTTATTTCATACGAGAGAAATCAAATTTCTACACACAAAACAGAAAAAATATTAAAATAATTCTTTCTATGGATCCTAATTTGTGATATTATTTTTGTTACATGAGATAATTTTTTTATATCGCATGAGAAAATAATTTTCTTTAATTAACTTAGATAACTTCAAAACTTTGAATAAAAATAATTTTATTGGAGGCCAAACCCTGCCTCAAAAAGAAAAGAACATATTAATTTTAAAAACTGCGTTACATGAATAAATTGATTCGGTTGAAATCTGGAATCTTGTAATACTCAGAACTTTTTTTGACTAATTGAAGAGCACAAAAGGAAAAGGGAAAGGAAAAAGAGAATGAGAAATAAAATAAGAATTGTAAAGTGACTGTCATCAAACAAGTTACTCATTTTACAACACGTGCACAAGACATCTCAAAAACATTAACGAGAAAAAACGTGAACCGCAAGCTAGTTAGACAGAAATAAAATAAAAAAAAATATTTTTCATTTTAAATGATATAAAGTTATGTCATTCTAAGAAAAATAGATATAAAAATATATATTTTTTATTTAAAATTTAAATTTAAAAAATCACCCAAACACCCATTTTCTCTCATATAATTTTCATTTTTTATATATATCTTTATCTTAATATGACATAACTTATGTTATTTAAAATATCAAACACCGAAACCTTAAAAAAAATGCACACCGAACCTTAAAAAAAATGCTTTGGTTTTAAAAGAATCTTCACATCTTACGTCTGGTCCAGTGATGAAGGGTTTAGATAAATTATATTAAGTTATGTTTCAATTTTCATCGTATGAAATAAAAAATCTATCACATCTGAGCCGTTGGATATTGTGAAGATATATTTCTATGCACAACGTGTATGTCCTTTGTTCTCTCTGTTTTTAATCATGAAAAGCTGGTTCACAGAAAATGACAACATGCACTCAGCACCAATAAAAAGAAAAAGAAAAGAAAAGAAAAGAAAGCTGTAACCCCTGGTCAATTGTTGGTAAAGCATTTTAATCATGGTAAGGTTAAATTTGCTCCTTGACGTGGCATTTGGCATGTTTGGTTTCGTGTATGTTCGGCAACTGGAATGGGGATGGTAAGCTTAATTTAATACCAGCAGCTACTTAATGTCTCAGCCATTAATAACAATTAATTTGTATATAAATGTAATTCTTGTGTTTCTTTTAAGGTATAATAAATTGATTATTAATTGAAATTTACTTGTACTATATTTTTTTTATAAATCATAAATATCTTTTATCAAAGATAATTCTATTCAAATCAAAATATCCACACCAATGGACTAGCTCTTTTAAAGAAAATATTTTATATTTATAAAAATTTAAACTCAAGACTTTATTTAAGCAAAATTAAACATGCATGACTTCAACTAACCCCTTTTTAATACTTTGTTTATCATTTAATTTATTTTATATTTGCTTTGCAACTAATTCGATTCGGGACGAATCTAAGGTTAAGGCTTTAAACTCCTCTCAAAAATAATACTAAAAAGATTCAAACACATGCTCTCACTCCACTTATTTAGCTCTTATGCATCAACTAAACTACACCTATATTTAATTTACATGTATAAACCAAAGTGAAGTGCACAAAATATTTTGGTATCTAAAGATACAATCTAAAAGTAATTTAAATTCGGGTGCCAATTTAAGAAACACAGGTACTTTTTTACTTTTTGTATCTCCAAATGAGATGAGACGTGGCAAGATACAGGTTAAACATTTGTCACCATCAAAGTGAAAGTAACACAATTTTGTATATTACACGACAAAGTACAAAAATGTAAAACGGACGGAGAGAGAGAGAAAGAGATAGTACAGATACAGATACAGATACAGAGTATGCACTGCACAAGTTTCACACAACTCTTGTCCATTTTATTACTGCATTTGGACTTTCTTATCTGTGTCAGCATCATTTCTCTGAAGTTTCTCTTCTCTTCTCTTCTCTAGCACACACAGAGAGAAAACCCAGGTGGGGGTTCTTCCTGCACTGCATTGTTCCTTCTCTTTCTTTTTAAAAAGTATTGATATTTGAACAAGTCTCTTGGTTCCACACCCTGTTACTTTACTGGTATTCATTCCTGATTCTTCTCGATGAAAATCTTTGCATACCATTTTCATTTTTGTTTTCGTTTTTAAGTTTTGGGTGTTTTATTAGCTCTCTCTCTCTCACTCAGATGTCATCAATCATTTTTTCTTTTTTTTTTGGTAACACTGCTTTATTTTGAGCTGTTAATAGTAATTTTGCTTTTCATTTTCTTTTCCTTATTCATATGCTCATAATCAAAATAAATATTAAATAAAGATGGATATGTAGCATTTACCTTGATTTGAGCTGTTAATAGTAATCTTGCTCATTTTCTTTTCCTTATCCACCTGGGTGATATGCATTCAAAGTCTTGTTCTTTTTCTCATATGAAGATGGATATGTAGCATTTACCTTGATTTGAATTGTAGCTGGGTATTGGTGATTGATTATTTTTATGTTAGTCTGTGTTCTTTCATTTTATGTGAGCAAACCTGTCTTGTTTTTTCAGCAGGTGTTTTGAGATAATACTGAGGAAGAGGACTAGGTCACACTTCAAAAGAATCAAATGACTATTACTGATACTAATTACGATCACAATTCTAAGTCTCATGCTTTGGGTAGCAATGTCAAAAGAAACTCAATTTTCAATACCCCTTTTCTGTTTGTGGGTATGGGTCCTAAAGGCTTGTTGGATTCTGATTCAATTAAGAGCCCCACTTCCCCCCTAGATTTTAAGTTTCTTTCAAATCTAGGTAACCCCTTTAAAACCCCAAAATCATCATCACCCAATGAGGGGCAGCAACAAAGGAGCTGGGATTGTACCAAAGTAGGTCTAAGTATTATAGATTCTTTGAAAGAGTGTTGCAAGTTTTCTGGTGAAATTCTCCTGTCATCAGAGTGCAAGAAGACTGGTCTCAGTCCCCAAATGATTATCAAAACCCCAAATTGTAAATCCTACATGGATTCTGTTCAGTCATCCAAATCCTTACCTGAAGATTATTTTAAGCTTCCTTATGCCCAGAATGGTTCTATTTTCCACAAGGGGGAATCCACTGTTCTTTTTGAGATTGGAGAAACCCCGTTAGAACATGAGCCTTTTGGGAAAGCTATGTCTTGTTCATTGGATTCATGCAGTCCTATTAAAGAACTGTCTAATTTAACTGGTTCCAACTTTGATTCAGAGAATTTTGCTATGAACCAAGTGAGTTCTCCTCCTCATTTTATTGGAGGAAGCCAGAACCAAAACAACAACTTTGAACCTATAGAGTTAAATTCAAACCCTTTGTCCCTGTCCTCCTCCAATGAATTAATCAAGTCTCTATCAGCAAGTGAGATTGAACTCTCTGAGGACTACACATGTGTAATTAACCATGGTCCCAATCCCAAAACCACCCATATTTTCTGTGACTGCGTTTTGGAAACTCATGCTAATGATTTTAAAAAACATCATAAGAATGAAGTGAAGGAGGAGGGATTGTCCTCCCTCGTGGCTAACACTCCAAACCAATATCTATCTGGTGACTTCTTAAGCTTCTGCTACCATTGCAACAAGAAATTGGAAGAGGGGAAAGATATTTACATATATAGGTAGATTAGCACTATTGCATCTCTTCTTTTTTGACTTACAGTTTCTTTGATGGATATAATATTATTCTGAAGATTGGCTTCCTTTATTATATCCTGCAGAGGTGACAAATCATTTTGCAGTTTAACATGCCGTGCCATGGAGATCATGATTGATGAGGAATATAGAGAAATTGAATCCATCATCTGAAAACTCTTTAAAGTGTAATTTTGTGGCATCCTCATATCTATACATAAGAGGCTTTTCTGTCATTGGCACTGAGCCCTTGAGATGAGTAGACGCACCTGATCATCTATTCACAAATTAAGAGCTGTTTTATGTGAATCTATTAGCAGCCATGGATGATTGTTTTGTACATCAGTGCGTTTGCCATTGGTTTTTTAGCTTTCATGGTCTCAGTGGACGATGGCTCTCTTCATAGAGATTTGATTTCCATATATAACTGGATATATAAGTTGTGAAATTCCGTGATAGATTAAGCTTATTTTTCATGCAAAAGTTAAGGGTGGAAGCCCATTTTTCTTGGCTGACCCCTTATTGAAGTTGCCTTGTATTATCTCTACATATTATGTCAAGAATCAGTGTATGCAACTCAAAACAAGTTTTTGACTTGAACGTAATGAAACTATTTCTTTTCTGGAATGTAAATCGCAAAATGTAATGTTTTAGTTCTTTCAGCTGTATGCCCTGATTCACCTGTAATATTTACTTGTATTTAAGCCCTCTAAAACTTGGACAGGAATGAGTTATAAGCATGAAATTCTCCAGAGACTGGTAGATTATTCCCTGATCTCTGGTATTTGAATATTTGATGCTTAGTAATACCCTCATCATGCCAAGTTGATGGTTCTTTAGAATCATATGTTTGTAATGTTGATCATCTTTTGTCCTGTGTTATACATATTTGTGGGGCTGGGGATACAAAATTAGCGGGACAACGATCAAATTACCAAAATGTCACGCTTTAGAAATTTTTTACCAAAGTGCCAGGTTATCAGTCTCGTTATGCCATGTGGCAAGTTAGGATTGACCACGTGACAGCACTTGGTTGGCCACATAACTAGCTGCGCAGTGCAGCTAGATTACGTGGCAGACAACCCATGTCACCGTCTGCCACGTGGCCTAAAGCGCTGGGTTACGTGGCATCTTACGAGGCCAAAATTGCTGAACTGCGTAGCTGTTTACGTGGCGGTTGTTGAAATACTCAACGCTTGTGTGACATGTGTCACACTGTGGTAAATTCGCTGGGCTGAGCTGATTACGTGCATGTGTGACACGTCATTTAAATGAAATTAAATAACATTAATTTAATACTCCTAAATTTAATTATTTAACCTTTACAAATAATTTAACTTAACATATTTTATAATTAAAATAAAATAATTAACAATTTTAAAAATAAGTAATTAACAGTTATAACAAATAATTAATCGTTATGATCAATTTAAATTAATATAGATTAAATTAAACTATTTCAATTAACAAACATAAAATATATTACATTAATTAACAACCCTTGATTAAATTAAGTAATGTAATAGTTCACAAATTTTTAACATAAAACAAACTACATTTAATTATTTTAGTTAACACCCCTAAAATAACTAATTAATTATTCTAAAATAATTAAAATTAATATACACTGATTAAACTAAAATAATTAACATTAATTTAATTTAGTTTAATTCTTTAACACTACTCAAATTATATTAATTTTTTAACCGTTACAAATAATTTCAATTAGCATAAATTAATTTAAACTAAATTAAATTAATATAGTTAACACTAGGGGAGTAAATGGGCCAGGCCAGGCCTACAACACAGCTTATGTTGAGCCTGGCCTTTTTGAAAAATAGAGTTGTCTTAGGCTTACAAGAAAGCCTTTTTACCAAATAGGCCATAGGCCAAATTTGTCAAGCTTGGCCTAAAGTCTTGTACGCTAGCCTATTTAATTTTTTAAAATAAAATAAAATAAAATATTTATTCTAGGTGACAAAGTATAACCCAATTTTCTTTTGTGTACCGCCGCTTCTAAGTGACTTCTCACTCTCGTGTCTAAGTTTCGTCTTTAGTTGACCCAGTAATTGTATTTCTTTTTTATTTTTTCCATTTCTTTGACTCTAATTTCCCTCTGATCTACATTATAGAGCTGAGGTATTTATTATGTTGACTCTTGTTTGTCACTTTTTATTTCTTATGAGAAGTATTAGTGCAGGCATGAATGAAACTTTTTTTGCTCTATACAATTATTTTCTTTGTTCAGTATCTGCAGTGGGAGGCCTGTAGGCCATATCAGGCTTTTTAATTTTTAAAAATAAGTCTGGCCTGACCTATAAAACAAAGCCTTTAATAGACCAGATAAGCTGCATATTTTTTTACGTAGCCTTAGGCTAGAAAGCCCGGCCTAGCCTGACCCATTTACACCTCTAGTTAACACTCCTAAAAATTATCAAATGATAATTGTAAAATAATTTAATTAAATTTGTACTAATTTACACTACATTAGTTAACAAACATAAAAACTCCTAAATTCATTAACACTCGTAACTTATATTAAACTCTTAAATTATTTGTAAATGTTAAGTAATTAAATTTAGGAGTGCTAAATTAATGTTATTTAATTTCATTTAAATGACACGTGTCACACATGCAAGTAACCAGCTGCTCAGCCCAGCAAGTTTACTACAGTGTGACACGTGTCAGACATGCGTTGAGTGTTTCAACAACCGCCATGTAAACAGCTACATAGTCCAGCGATTTTGGCCACATAAGACGCCACGTAACCCAGCTCTTTAGGCCACATGGCAGACAGTGGCAGGGGTTGTTAGCCACGTAATCTAGCTGCACTGCGTAGCTAGTTACGTGGCCAATCCTAACTCGCCATATGACGTAACGAGATTGATAATTTGACACTTTGGTAAAAAAAATTTTGCAACGTGACATTTTGATAATATTTTAAGTAAATAATGACAATTTAGTCGTTGTCCCCAAAATTAAGTACGCGAGGGGCGGCATCTTATTTTAACTTGGTCGTGAATATTCACGTCAATAGACATAATTTTAACGCTGAAACTGAAATTATTAAAAATAATTCAATCACAAAATTCATAAAATTAAAAATGATCAAAATAAGACGATTTTTAAAAATTTTCCTGATATTTTTTTTTGGTATATTCCTGATATTTTTTAATATATATGAATGATCATACTCTTATACATTATTATTTTATTATTTCAAATATCAGTTTTTCCCTAATTAATATATATGAATGATGATATATATTATTTATCTTAATATTTTTAAATTTTAGCTTTTAAATTTTTATTGAAATTTATTTCAGAATATAAATATATCCTGATGTGATGACTGAACTAGGTTGCTAACAAAGTTTTTTTTTTTCTAATCCAAACTTGACTCAATTCGATCACACCCTTAAGTGCAAATTCAAAGTTCATGCACGAACATGAAAAATGTAAGGTGATATTTACTCTCTTTTTGGCTTCTATTTTGAATTGATATATTTTATTAATAGTTGCAAAAATGTTAAATTCTTGGGCACAACTGCACAAGTATGTGAGAGGTAATCAATAATTAATAAACCACAAAAATATCATCTAACAAAGCGAATTTGCAACACGCGAAAACTTAAAACACTCGAGGCGATTATAACTAGTGGTCCCAACGTTACTCCCCGCTACCAAACCAATACCAAAAACCAGTTTCTATCCCCTTGAATGCATCTCAGCCTGCAATCGATATAATATTCCCAAACATCCTTGTACCATTAAGGACACACATGGACTACCACTGGCTTAACAATAATATCAAGTGAAATCAAATACAGGATTTAATGAAAACAATAAAGAATCATTGTCACTCTCTCAGCCTCTGGTCTGTCGTGTATTGTAGGATTTGCAATTCAGGCATTTTCGAGCCACAAAATGGAACTGAACGTGAGAAGTTTTGCCACAATCATTGCAAAGGATCCAAACCTGTTAATAGTAACACCATTAGTCCCTCATAATCAGCAGGCAACATAAAACTGGATTCACCATGCAACAAAAACCACAGGTGCATCTCAATGCAGATTGCAGAAGGAGAAGGTACATGCATAAAAATCTTGGTCAACCACTAATCATTAATCACACCATATAACCTCTCCCATCTTTCACTCCCCTCCCATAGCAACGAAAAGACAAAAAAGAAAATCGAAGGTCTATGCTGCATGGTAAGCATGAATCACATGTAATACCCATATTCAGAGAGGAAAAACGGAACACTGACCATTTTATCTCGATATGGCTCAGGCATTGGTGTAGCAGCAATCTCCACGTCAAATTTCTCCCAAACCTTTGACATGTCACATATTGACTTGGAGCAGAGCGGGCATGCATACCTGATATAAAATCAAATACCAAGATCAGCACAATTTTTTTCTAATAAAGATGGAGAATGAGAGGAGCTACTCTGTGACACTCACTGGAAATGTTCTCTCATTTCGTTCAGGCAGCTCTTATGAATTGTATGTCCACACGGCATAACAGTGACCTCATTTCTTGATTCAAACAAATACTGCAATCATCAATTTCGGCATGCTTGAATCAGCCTCAAGCAATTTAAACAAACTGGTAGAGTGACATTAAATCATGAAAGTTGTAAAATGTTACCTCAAAACAAACAGGGCAATCATGATGCATTGCTCCTTCCACACAAGGATGATTGTTGTTCAGCAGAGTTGAGTAGCAGCAACCTATGAAAAGAAATCATGAATGTGTGACGATCACAAGGGTCGTTCAATTTAAAATGATCAAATTGCTACTTATAAGTTATTAAAAATCATAGGAATGATGTTTTAAAAAAACATCGGAATAAAAATAATCACTTACGACACTTGTAGCAATGGAAGAAATTCTCACGTCCTCCAGTTCTGTTTGAGAACATTAGAATCAATCAGTCTAAATTTTGATACAAAGCTTGGTCAATCTAAGAAAGCAAAATACCCTAAGGGGGCGTTTGGTTGAGGAAATTTTTTTGGAATAGTAGGAAAATGTAATAGATAGAGAAATGATTGGAAAGATAAATAAAGTGAGATAGGTAAAAAAATGTAAAAAAAGTTGTTTGGAGAGGAAAAACTTTACTGGAAAAATTAGGTAACTTTATGAAATCAACAGTGCATTAAAAGCCAGATAACCGGTTTTCCGAAAAATCCCACCTTCAAATTGGGTTTCTAAACAGTGCGGATATCTATGTTTCTCATAAATCCATACAAATTGGATAGATGGGTTTTTGGTGAAAATACGTTGAAACAAACATGGTGTTTCTAAAAGCCATACTTGAGAAACATAGATATCCGCTGAAAAGCTCCCAACCAAACACCACCTAAAGCTTCAAACTATACCTAATAAAAATGCGTTCTATAAGTCAAACATGCTAGACTACTTTAGTTAAGGGGGAGCAAACGAGAAAATATTATTACCGAGGGCGGGGTTGTCAAAATTAACATTTAATTTTTACAATAAAAATTGACGGAAAAATAAAATTGGCCCCCTCAAACACGTTACCATCCCTGCCAAAAATGCAAAGACATTGATACTTCAGATAAACTAACAAGAGTAGCAATTCATACCTGCAAATTCCACAGCCACTGCAATGGTACTGCTGCTTAGATATCTGAAGTACATAAAAGAAATAAGATAGTAACACAATACCACTCGAAAATCTTTATAATTTAAAAGTTCTTATCATCATTCATTCCATCACTGATCTACAAGCTACAGTTAGAGAATACTTACTGGTTATGCACACCTCAGAGATAATTATACCATCAATCATATCATACACGGAATAAAAAAAATACATATACAACATGAAAAGAAAATAATTCTTCAGTTCCAGGATTAACTACTTACATCATCATCAAAGAGCTTGCATGTCCCACAGAAGTACTTGCCCATACAAACACCACAATTAATACAATTTTGCTGAACCTGGGAGCAGTAAAAATCAGCATAAGAAAAAACTAAGCTTCAAATGTTCAATGTATATTATAAATGAAAATTTCAGCTTTCATAATGGATGATTTGTTGAATAAAAGAAGAGACTAACTCAAATACCCTAGCCATTATCTCTGATGAAATTGACAAAACTTCTGTTTCCATAAAACATATTGAAGAACCTCCAGACAGTAATAAGCTATAAAATTCCCTCATCAAATGCACTATTTTGTTTCCTTTATGCATGAGAATGACTCTATATATTCGCATGCAGATTGATTTTCTTTCTTATTTGACAAATAATAAAGATTTAATCTATCATAAACAGGTATTTAGATCTTCATTTATATTTTGTTTTACATACCACAACAAAAAAGTACACCCAAAGATATTGAAGAAATTCTAAACTCACCTCTTGTTCCGTCCCACAAAGTGAACATATCACCTGAATATGTCAAAATTATTTCATTAACATTAAGGAACTCCTTGACCATGAAATAGCAAAAGGGAAAAGGTGCAATTAATTGTGGATATTCCAATTGGGGATGTCAAAATAAATAAGCATACCTGCTTGACTTGGTGTCGTGGAATGTCATGTCTATGCTTCTGATCAATGTCGATATCATTCTGTAGAAAAATTATAATAAAATTACGTTCCCCTAAAAATAAAAGGAATGCTACAAGACAACAACTAAACCTAATGAGGCCATTTCATGGTATATTCTAAGCCATAACTCAAAAGTAATGAGTTCAACTTGCATGGAGATCGTGGAGACCCTACTAAAGGATGGTGAGTCATAAAATCAGAAACAACAGTAAGATGAACTAACTGATATTTACTTTTCCAGATTTAAGCAACTCACTAATAACTGATTCTCAAATTAGTTCACAAAGGGTACAAAACCTTGTCACCTAAGGTAGAGTGGTAGACAATGAGGAATATAAGATGAACTGATGAAGGCAATATAAATATTTCTGAACTGAGACTCAAGCATAAATGTGATAGATCACAGCAGGATTGTAAGGAAGGAAAATATGGGGGAAACCATAAATAAAAGGCCAAGACAAATAGAAGCCAATGAAGATTAAAAATCAGACTATCAACGCTAAGAACAGTCAAAGAACGACAATGCCAATTAGGGAAAGGATTATCTAAGAAGATTGGCCAGAAATATGAAACACAATGGGACCATCTCGTTTATAGCAACAACGATAGATAATTATTTGAAACATACAACTATCATCAAACACTAGATTTGGTAATTTACTCACTTTCGCCTCATTGTGACAGTGGCGGCAATCAAAAATCTCATTGCAACAGGGGGCCCTGATACGACATCTTCTCCGGTAGTGTTGACATCTGCATACAAAACATATTTTTTTAGCAAAAGAACATAAAACACAACAATCTAAATGGTGGGCAAAAAGTATATGAAATTTTTTTTACCCATAGTCCATATATCCTTTCTCTAGCAATTCATTGGCATTTTTGTGATCTATTGATTGACCTGATTCTTCTCCAGGCAAGCGCTCTGCATTTGATTCTGGAGGATATGCATTTTTCTCAGTAATCATGTCATTGCACTCAAAATGCAGAGGCTCAGAGTGCATTACTGCCACCTCTCCTATGATACTAGTTATCCTCAGATAAGATTACCAAATATCTAGAATCTGGCAGTGAGCTTACAGACCTGCATGTAGGAACACATTTAGAAATAATCCTAAAACAAGCGGTAAACACCGAATGCATTGTTGCTTTCTTCCATACTGCCGCAGACCAATTGAAATCAGAAGCAACAAAAAGGAATTATGCAGCTCCAATCAGCATTACTTCAAGAGGGGAACACATCAAAACAAGCGAATATACAAGAATTCCACATATTACTACAAGGTAGCACTGGGGTACTTGACAATCTCCAGCAGTAAATAGAAACCAATAGCGTGGAATGATCACTTGATTCCTTGAAGAACTCCCAGAACCAAATCCAACTACACTGGAGCCAACCAATAGACACTCCAACCTATGTTGAAAGCAATAAATCACTCGATCAAATGCATCCCAAATATAAATATAGTAGTTGTGTTGATTTTATTGTCCATGAGGGGAAACCCTACCTTAAAATGAAGTTCCATTGACTCTTCCATGAACTGAAACTTACCAAAAGCAAATAATTAAAAATTTCATACCATCTGCACCTTGTAGATTCATTTTGGTCAAATTAGAACACTTTTCTTCGTTAACTAGGTCACTTGACAGTGATTTTTCCTTTTCACTGCCAAAAAGAACATTTACATTACTCCATGGACAAGGCTATCCATATTCAAGAACAAAATCCTCATCCTCCTTATCCATATTAGGAGTGCAGCAGGGCTGGTAGAAGACAAAATGAAGACTGGAAGAAGAAAGAAGGGAAGATTGGCACTGATAATAGACAATAATAATATGTTATGTCAAACAATGGGTGTAGCATCAAGCCAGTCTTTTCATCATCCATAATTGGGCAAAGAAACAAATGGATAGTTTCTATGAATTGCAAAAGGGAAATCACATCCATATGAAGCTTTAACGACATCAAAACCGGCTACAAACTGTTTGTCCATAGTGGACGCTGAAAGGTAGCATAGAAAAATAGACACGGGTAAGGCAGCAAAAGACGGTACTTGTTTGGCCACTCTTCCCTTTGAAAAAAAAAGGGTAGTTTCCTTGGAGTGTTAGCTTTCTGCAACTGGATGGTCCACTTCGTATGCAAATCGCATTTTCCTGCAGTGTTAGTCTCCTGCATTTTCCTAGCGTGATATCTAAACTGAAAATGTCATTCATAACTCTCCTAAAAACTTTCGCTCTCACATATCCATATAGATTATTCCTAGCTATCAATGTAATTGGGAAAAAGCACTCCAACTATCTTATTACTTCAAAGACATAAACTGCCTTATATAAGAAACTAGAGACCATAGATCAATTTTTAAAGGTGACTGCCTATTTCAATTTTCAAGCGTTACAAGATTACAACCTATAGAAAGAAACCACAGATCACTAACAAACACAACAATTCATTGCCTGAAAGCCAAGGTCTTGTGAGAATTCCACTAAACCATAGTAGAAAATGGCTTAACTCCAGAGCATAACATGATGCAGAGCAAACAAAAGAGTTAATTAATTACATAACCACAACAAACAAAGGTAGTAACATTCAAAATTGCATTAAGAATTCACAAAGAACACATCAGAAAACGTAAAAATGCAAGAATTGAAACGATTATCTTCACCTACCAAAACCTAACAGAGAACGCAATTATTATCGCACTCAAAATCACAACACAACCGAGAGTTATAAAAAAAAAAGCAATAATTAAGGAACGGCACAGAATTGGCGCAGAACAACAACGAACTTTCAACTCGGAGAGTTGGGAAGAAGAAGAAGACGGCGATCCAAACAAACACAATCGGCGATTGATTTGTTCTTTTTTTTTTTTTTTTTTTTTTTGGGACCTCCGACTCGAGTCTTATCTGACACGCTTTTGTTTTCTTGAAATGAGAGGAGGATTCGAATTTATGTAGAGTTTAATTTATAGGCCCGTGTGAGAAATGTTTTCGAATTTCGAGAGGCTTCGAAATTGACTTGCTTTTATTGACAGCGAATGCAAGCTCATCAACATTGATAGTGAGCTGTGACAGCTCGTAGTTTATTATTATTCCATTTTTGCCACCCCCCTCTCAAAATATCTCGTTAGTCGTTACGTCTCACACGTAACGTGTCACCATCACCACAATCTCCTTGATTTGTGTGCGGATATTCGATCGGATTTGTATTAACATACAAAGAAGATTATGAATTAAAGAATTATGAATGTAATTAAATAAAGTTAAAGAAGTTTCATATTAAAAAGTATTACGTAATCTAATGAGTTATGACTTACGAGCGTTGCGTTGTTGGCGACAGGGGTGTTCGTGGTCTGGATTGGATCGATTTTGGAAGCAAAACTCATCTGATCCAATCTCTTCAGTTTGATCATGTAATCATTCATTCGGTTTAGGTTTTTTTTCAAATCCGATCCGATTCAATCCAATTTTTTTCGGTTTGGATTGGATTGGACCGGTTTTCGGTTTTTTGAAAATCCTAAAATAAGTTTCATGATTATTGTGCAAATAACATCTTTTGTATATATTGACTTTGTAAAAAAAAAAAAAATTGAAATACAAAAATATCAGTAAACAATACCATAGTTGATGAGACGTGACTAAGTTTTTTTTTGGGTTTAGTTGATAAGTTAATGAGTCTTGAGTTTAGAAATTTTTGGGCTATGATTGAAGAAAGGACAAGTAGGTGGCTTTTTGACCCTTATGCCCCTTAATTAATAATTAATTACCAAATTGCCCCTCATTCAAAACTATTTCGAAAATTTACCCTTCCCAACAAACATAACACCAATCTGCCCCTGTTTGACCGTTGACCACGAAGCCTACCCGGGTACACCATTACCTACCCGGGTAAATTTTGAAACTTTTTATCTACCCGAGTATGTAGGGGTGTACCCGGGTAGAGTTCTTGAATCTGGGAAAATGTTTGAATTATTTACCCGGGTACGTAGCAGTGTACCCGGGTAAATCGCGTCCAGAAACCCCAATATGTATGGGTTTCGGCCATTGTTGCGAGGTATAGGGTTTTTGAAACCCCAAATCTTTCTCTCTTACCCTCTCTAATCCGAAACATCACACATATTTCATCTCATCATTTCAGAAAGCTGAATCTTGGGGGGACATTGAGATTACATCTCCACACTCCCATTTTGTGCTAAAAAATCTGAACCAACCTCCAAACCCAAAACCTAGATCTAATTTTTGTGTGAAAGATGAGTTCAAGTCCAAACATGGTTCCTATAGTTGTTTACTACAATGGGAGGCATTTTGAAGGTCCGAACGGTGTCCGATTTGAAGGAAAAACAAAAACGATGAAAATCAAAGTGGGCACTACATGCAATGAACTGAAGGAGAGAATTCTTCAAAAAATGGGGTCAGAAGGCATACATTCCATCCACCGCATGATAGCCAGGTTAGAGACTGTAGTGGATATGGATACAATATACTACATTGGAAACGATATAAATGATGATGAAGATGTGGAGTTCGTAACAGATGCGTTTGTTGAATGGAAAGTATTAAAATATATTGAGATATATGTTGAAGTTGATGTTGGACAATCTTCATCTTTACCGGTGCATACAACCACTACTGCACACTGTACCGGTCAAGAAGATACAGTTGTACGATCTTCTGCACCTCCTCAGGTAGCATGGGATGAGGATGAAGAGGATGAAGACGAGGACTATGTGGACAGCGAAGAGGAGGGAGAACCTGAAAGTGCTATTCCAGAAGGTGATTCGTCAGACACTGATGTGGACGGTAATTTTGAGGCTGACATGAGCGCCGTAAGTCTCGGTACCCCAGCCTTGTCACCACTTCATGTCGACCCAGTCAGTAGTGGTAAGTTATTAAATTTGAATATTTGCTTTAGACAATTTATTATTTGTGGTAAGTTATTAAATTTGACATGATCTTTAGATGCAGGGTCTGAGGAGCCATTCTGGAATGAAAGCCAACATTATTCATTCATTAACTGGGCGCACCCTAATGACGAGTTGGAGATCCTATATGGCGATGATGACTTGCACGGAGGTTGGAAGTTAGGAGATCCGTTATTTGTGCAACAAGAATTTGGGTCCAAACCAGAATTGCAACATGCTGTGAAGATACATTGTATGAAGGGGCGCAAGACAGCCATAGTTGAAAAAAGCGACGAGTCAAGATTTGTTATGAAGTGTAAAAACCATGCTGACGGTTGTCCCTGGTATATGAGGGCAATTAAGCCGAAGAAGGGAGCTAACTGGGTGGTCCGTAAATGGGGTCAAGGTCACACATGCCTAAATCAAGGCCTAGCACAGGATCATAGACAGTTGGATTCAAATGTCATTTGTGCGGCTATAATGAGTATGTATTCTACTGTTTATTTAATGATTCAGATTAATTGAGAATATGGTAAAGTTAATTTTTTTTTTCCAGATATGTTAAAGGAAGATCCATCCACAAGACCAGCTCTGATACAGGAGAGGATACAGGGAACATATGGATACAACATAACGTACAGGAAGGCCTGGAAGGCAAAAATGAAGGCCATCGTTAAGTTGTTTGGTGACTGGGAGAAATCGTACGCATTCTTGCCAAATTGGCTAAAGTATATGACGGAGGTGAATGTGGGTTCTGTGTTCAAACTTGATACAAATCAATGTTTTGATGAACATCGGGTTTATACAGACAGGGCCGTATTTCAAAGGGTTTTTTGGACATTTCACCAATGCATTGAAGCATTCAAACACTGCAAGCCTATAATTCAAATTGACGGCACTCATCTGTATGGGAAGTACAGAGGTACTCTACTGATTGCAACATCTCAGGATGGAGATGGATTTCTGCTCCCTATTGCCTTTGCTCTTGTTCCTCCAGGTGAGTAAATAATTTTGCTTTGGGGTATGTGAAAGCATGTGACCCTTCTTTGCCACTTCATACTGTAAATATTTTCTGAGCTCATCCCTATTGACTTTGTTGTTGTTCCTCCAGGTGAGAGGTTGGATGATTGGTCCTGGTTTCTTAGCCTTTTACGTTTTCATGTCACACACAGGCATGGTATTTGTCTAATATCCGATCGTCATCGAAGCATCATAAGGGCGGTGAAAGACCACGGAGGGTGGCAGCCTCCATATGCTTATCATGTATTTTGTCTACGTCACATCGGAAGCAACTTCAATACCCGTTTTAGGAATGTGGAATTGAAGAAAACGTTGATGAAATTAGGTAATGTACGGTATAATTACTCACATTTTCAACCATTTGAAGAAAACGTTGATGAAATTCACTAACTAATGCATATGTCATTGTTTTACCATAACCTCCGAGTATGGGCACCGCATCTCCGCCAGGTGAAGTAAATGTGTCTGCTCAAGAAGCGGCACGATGTCAAAACGCTCTAGGTTGAAGAATGCCGAATCCAGTGATTTCGGTTCGCAGATCTTCCGGGTCATGAAAAACTTCACGAACTTCTCGTGTGAAGGAATGTCATCCTCAAACAAATATCCGAATGTCAAGTCCGGAGCCTGACTCGAAGCAGCCTGGGGCTGAGAGGATGACGACCCATCGTGACGACTCTTGGTTCTTCTCTCGGAATGGGTCACTGGCAGCTTTGAAACGCGTCGAGAGGTCATTGTGTCACACTATTAAACTGAAAAAATAACCAAAATCAGAAATTAGATACATGTTAGGGTTAGGGTTAGGGTTAGGGTTAGGGTTAGATTCAGGGTTAGGGTTAGGGTTAGACAAATTGATAAAATAATTCGGACAGAATCAAATGATATAAACGAAAATACAATGAATCAGAACAGAAATCATAACATAATTGAAAAAACTGAAAAAAAAATTCACCTTTGATCGATTTCAATCGGTAGAAGGCAGAGAGGTTGCAAGGTCCGCGAATGATGATCACAAACAAGACGAATTAGTGCAAGATTCTGCCTGAAATCGCTCAAGATGACACTCCTCTAGCAGCTCTACTCGGGTACCCCTTTTGTGGGTTTTCGAAATGGGGCTGCTGGGGTATTTTAAAACCCTACCGTCGATGTTTACCCGGGTACACTGCTCCGTACCCGGGTAAATAATTCAAACATTTTTCCAGATTCAAGAACTCTACCCGGGTACACCCCTACATACTCGGGTAGATAAAAAGTTTCAAAATTTACCCGGGTAGGTAATGGTGTACCCGGGTAGGCTTCGCGGTCAACGGTCAAACAGGGGCAGATTGGTGTTATGTTTGTTGGGAAGGGTAAATTTTCGAAATAGTTTTGAATGAGGGGCAATTTGGTAATTAATTATTAATTAAGGGGCATAAGGGTCAAAAAGCCACAAGTAGGTAGAGAATAATTAATATATTGGATCGGTTTGGATTAGATCGGTTTTCATCAACCCATCCGAAAACCGATCCAATCCAATTAAAATTTGCGATTTTCTTTCGGTTTCCAATTTTTCGATTTTTCGTTTATTCGGTTATCGGTTTTTCGGTTCAATTTTCGCGGTTTGAATTGGTTTGGATCGGTTGATGAACACCCCTAGTTGGCATGGAAAAAAATTCGAGTTCGATTTTCATTAAATAGATAAGATAGGTTGACAATTTTAATTGTAATTAAGTCCTGATTCAATATTAATTTTATAATTGATTCAAAAAATTAAAACTTATAAAAATACAAAAAAGCTAATTAAGGTAGATATAAAAATATATATATATAATTTTTTTAGTTAATTATAACTGGTAAATTGTTATCATAATTTTATCAATGTAATCAGCATAAAACGTAAGGTAAACCTCATGTGGTAGCATGAGTCACTTTATGGACGAATTGACAAATATCTGGTCACTGTTGATTTGTTTTAATTTTCGGAAATGAAGAGTGTTGTTATATAAGTTTAAAAATATAAATATAACCAAAAATTCAAAAGA